GATAACAGGGGCCTGTTTGGGCCCGTCTTGCCTTTCGATTAGGAGATAAAGGAAGCACCTTGCTGCCCACAGAGAGTGTGTCTCCGCCACCGCCGGCTCTCTCCTCGTCTATTTGTCTGATGTGAACGTTTCACGAAGGGCCCAGGTCTTGGCCAAGGGATGGTAGTTTGATGGTGATCTAAGAGTTGCTCTGTTTAACAGCGGAGAGAAGCTCCTAGGCAAAAACACAAGTGGTTCCCTGCCCTTCTAAAAGGCAGAGGGACCGGGTTGTGAGCCCTCAGGCCTAGCAAGTATTTAGGAGGCTGCTGGCACGATCTCTGAGCAGAGGTTGTGGATGGGAAGATGTCCCCAGGCTCCTACCTGGGAGCAGCATCTTGTGCTCTGGTGCATCCCTGCCTGCTGCCAATGGCTCGGCTTGGACATGAGACGTGTGTGACATGCCGGATCACAGTGACGGCGTGGTGCTGCTGGGATCCCACCCTGCCAGCGTCTCGTACCGGCTCCACAGAGGCTTCCTGGACACAGGTGGCACAAAGCCACCAGCATGGCTCCCGGCCATGCCAGCTGTGGCAGAGTCTACTCGGGGCTGCCAGCTTTGGAGTAGTGAATCCACCTTCAAGAGGGAAAGGGAAATGATGTGAGTGTTTCCTTCCTCTTTGGCCTGTGTCCATGCAAGGAAGGACCAGTTTCATTTAGGAGCCCTCGAGGGGCAGGGGTCACGTCGCTGTCACTTTCCTCTGCTCAATGATGTCTCCCGAAAAGAACCTTTGCTAGGTTGTGGTCTCCTGCAAGTCTCAGAGCCACATCTGGAATGCATTTGGGATGGGCCAGAGGTGCTTTTTGGTGGGGACAAGTACCAGAGACTGCGTCACTGTCCGTAGGGCAGGGGGCAGGGGTCTGGGTGCCCCCGCCAGCAGCCACAGGGCTTGCTCTGCCCACTCCAGCCTGGACAGGACATACCTAGGCCTGGCCTCATCCCTGACCCACTCTGGCCATGTCTTCAGCAGAGCCAGGCCAGGAAGCTGCCTGCCGACACGAGGGTTTGCAAACACGAGCAGAGCTTAAAGAACTGAGTTTCCTGTCCCTGTTCCTGTCTGAGCTGTGTTGGCTGTCCCGGAGCCAGGCGTGCAGGAGAGCTGGTGCTGGGTACTTGGGAGCCCTAGGTTACGGGGACAGAGATATCCCTGGAGCAGGGAGGAATTTGGAACTGAGCTTTGCCAGGCTGGGAGTGAGGGGCTGAGCCAGCCCTGCCTGGCATCGCCCTGGTGCCTACCAAGCATCTGTACAGGTTCTCCTGCCATGACTCTGCTCCCGCATCCATGAAGTGACTTTATCCTGCATCTCACGCTGATGGGGCATGGCCGTGCCCCTGGCCGGTGTGCAGGATGTGGCTTCCCAGGTGGGAATGGCTCTTGGCAGTCACGAAGCAGTGCCATCCTGGGGACTTTATCAGACCTTGGAGATGGCCTCCAATTAAGTTGCATCTGTGGAAGCTCTGGGCTGCCGGGAGAAGTGATGACTCAGAGACCTGAACCAGGAAACTGGGGGCTACTAACACATCCCTCGCCCACGGGTTTGTTATCACCAGGTCCAGTGTGCGTGGGTTGATGGCTGTGGTTTCTCTTTCTCCACAGGCCACAATGCTGCGTCTGGCTGCTTTTGCGGCGCTGCTGCTGTTCTTCAGGGTCAGTCTGGAACTGTCCTGGGCCCAGGCCATCCCTGCTCTCTTCATCTTCTACCTGGGATCCGGCGGATGGGACTTCTTCCTCATATTCATCAAGACCATACGGAGGGACATCACGTAGGTGTCCTGGCTGGGATGGCTGGACCATCCCTGCTCCCTTTGGTTTGCTGCTCTGCTCTGGTGTGTGTGTGAGCACAGTCCCCAGCTCCTTGTACAGCCCTGGGTTTGGGCTGGCACCCAACCCGGCTGGAAGGAGATCTCCTGCGCCCGGGAGGCTCCACTCAGGCGAAGTTTTCATAAGGAAAGATAGATTTCAGCTGAGCTCTAAAGTCTAATGACTGCCCTTGTACTTCACCCTGTCCCTAAAGCTGCTGGCATGGCACCAGGTGCCTGTGCAAGGGTGGTTCTGAGTTGGTACCAGGCTGTGCCAGCTGCTGGCAAGGATCTGTGGGGAGGGAGTGGTGGCACTTCTTGGAGAGCACCTGAGGCTCAAAGGTGCCTCTTGGATTGCAGACATACCTGTCTGCAGCCTTCCAAAACACATCGCTCTCTGGCCTCCATCAGTTCCTGTCTCTCAGTATCTTTGCAGGTGAGCTCTGCCTATGTCCACACTGCTCAGGGGAGTATCCAGAGCTGCTGCTGACCTAGAGTAGGGCCTGGAGTAGTGCTGGGCTACTGCAGCTCCTAGGAAGGTCCTTGTGCTGTGCTGGCTTTGCTAGAGGAAGTGGTTTTGCAGGGCTCACTGAGCAGCTGCCCTCTCGCTCCCCTTCCTTTGGCAGCACGGGACTGGTCCTGTTGCGGGTGAAGTGGCAGGTATGGAGGCACGTGAAGGAAAAGAACACAATCGCCAAGATCTTCCAGAAGACTGCGAGCAGATATCCAGAGAAGACAGCACTGATCTTCCAAGGCACGGGCGAGAGCTGGACCTTCCGGCAGCTGGATGAGTACTCCAACCAGGTGGCCAATTTCTTCTACGGCCAAGGCTTCCGCTCTGGTGACGTGGTGGCTCTTTTCATGGAGTCCCGCAATCAGTACGTGGGGCTGTGGCTCGGCTTGGCCAAGATTGGGGTGGAGACTGCCCTCGTGAATTCCCACCTGCGCATGGAGGCCTTGCTGCACTGCATCACCATCTCCAACTCCAAGGCTGTGGTTTTTGGGGTGGAGATGATGGAAGGTGAGGGGCAGGCAGATGCGTCAGGGGTGCTCTGGACTTGGGGAGGAGGCGTATTTAGTGCTTCTTTCCTACCCACTACAGAACAGGGATCTGGAAGAGAATGGACAGTTGGAATCGGATCTGGTTTTTTCTGTCCATTTAGCTGCTGGGCAGGATCTGGAGTTCAGTGCTGTCTGGGTACCAAGCAAGCCAGCTTGGGTGTGAGGATCCTTTCTTGTGTCTCTTGGGTCCAACCTCTGCAAGGAGCCCTGGGCTGGGCCAGGCCTGCCCCACTGCACGGGATGTGCCTCCCCTTGCTTTCTGTAGCTGTTGCCACATCCCTGCAGCACCTCGATTCCAGCTCCTCATGTGTTTCAGCCCACATCTATGAGGCTGATGGTGTCAACAGACCTCTTGACGCCAAAGAGGTTTTGGCTGGGGAAAGGTGGAGAACAGGATCTTCTAGTCCCTGAAGAGGCCTGGGCTGTGGCCTCAGCACCTGTTAATCATGAGAAGGACATCTGCCTGGGATGGTTGTCAGCCCTTTGGGGACTCTACCGAGCACAGCAAGGGTACTGCTCCCTGGGGCAGTATCTGGGAGGGTAGGGGGTCTCTGTGCTGTAACCACCCTGTGGTCTTTCTCCATCTCCACTCTTTACTTTCTCAGCAATGCAGGAAGTGCAGCCCTCCCTGGAGAAATCTGTCCATCTCTTCTGGTCTGGGGAAGAAAGCCCTGAGTCCGTGCTTCCTGGCGCGAAACACCTGGATCCCCTCTTGCAGATGGCCCAGCGGCACCAGCCAACTCCCCCTGACAAGGGCTTTCTGGGTACGTAGTCAGTTTTGGGGGGGCCAAACTCACAGCCCAAACACTGGCAAGAACATCTGCTCGGGATGCCGATGAGAGACATCTGCAGCAGGCATGGAGGCCCCACTCCAGTGTCTGGAGCCTGGCTCTGTGTGGAGCAGTGTCCTGTGGTGCACTCTACATGTCCACCAGACGTGCTCTGCTCAGGGTGAACCCAGCAAGTTCTTGGCTCTGTCACATAAAGTTTTGGCTCAACTGGCACAAGCAAAGCATATAAATTTGACTTGTCCCCCTCTCCCAGTTCAGCCAGCTCCTAGATTGGGTATGTGACCTTGTCTCCTCATTGCTCACCAGATAAACTCTTCTACATCTACACGTCCGGCACAACGGGGCTGCCCAAGGCTGCCATTGTGGTGAACTGCCGGTAGGACCATGGGCAGGGGCTCAGGAAAGGGTGGGGCTGAGCTGTGCCCTGTCCTAGCACGGTGCCTTCAGCCCTGCTGCTGACGTGCCTCTTCACCCTCCCTCCCCAGGTACTTCCGCATGTCCAGCTTAGTTTTTTATGGTTTTCGCATGAGGCCCGACGATGTGGTGTACGACTGCCTCCCGCTGTATCACGCTGCAGGTAACGTGTGCTGTGTGGAGCCACATGTGCCAAGACTCTCTTTTCCCCTCAGCCAAGCCCAGGGCTCAAACTGGAGGCTGATGTAGGAGGTTGGTGTAGCAGTGATCTCTGTGTTGAGGAGGAGCTTGCTGCAATTCGCAGTGTCTCACTGAGCCTTTCAGCTTTTTCCCTGAGAGCTGAGAATCAATCTGGCTGGCCTTTGAACTGGGAAGTGTGTGTGTGTGTCGGGGTGTTATCCCAGCTTTGGAATAGCTGCTCCCTTTGGGAAGTCAGGAGGAAGGGAAGCAGTGCCTGCCTGGCTGACCGAGACGTGCTGGGATGTCCAGGTGCAAAGTGTTGCCCCAGATCTTGCTGCCACACACATCCTCCCTGCTGCCTGGGGGTTTTGGCTAGGAAAAACCTCACCTGTCGTGACCCAGTGCATGGTGTCCACCTTGCCCTGCCAGGCCTCTCCCTGAGTGGATCCAGGGACTAAGGGCTCCCCTGGCTGCCTCTCCACAGGGAACATCGTGGGGGTCGGGCAGTGCCTGCTGCAGGGCATGACGATCGTCATCCGCAAGAAGTTCTCAGCCTCGCACTTTTGGGAGGACTGCGTGAAATACAACTGCACGGTGAGGCCAGGAGGCAAGGGACCAGATGGGAGCGGGGTGTGGAGCTTGGGGATGTGTGCCGTGCTGGAGAGACCCCGACTGCTGGAAGAGGGGAAGGCCTGAACTGGTTCTGCCTGTCCATCGCAAACCACCTTCCGAGGTGGTGGTGGTGGGGTTGTGTCCTTCCCACTTGGGGTGATAAATCCGTGCATCCAAGCTCTTCCCGTGCTCCAGCGTTAGCCAGGAGGTCTTGATTAGGTTTCACAACCTGGAGGTGTGGATTAATCAGGGAGGGGCAGGTACTGGCAGAGCTAACAGGCCTCCTGGGTTTTACTGCAGCCTCTTCAGGGCACTTTGGGCATGTTGTGCTATTCCTACCTGCCCTGAAGAAACCCCAAACAACCTCAGGCCTGGTGGAGGGATCCTAGTGAGTCTTTCTTCTCCATCTCTCCCAGATTGTGCAGTACATCGGGGAGATCTGCCGCTACCTACTGAACCAGCCGTACCAGGAGGTGGAGCGGCAGCACCGCGTGCGCATGGCACTGGGCAACGGGCTGCGTGCCTCCATCTGGCGAGAGTTCATGGCTCGTTTCGGCATTGCCCAGATCGCCGAGTTCTACGGGGCCACTGAGTGCAACTGCAGCCTGGGAAACTTTGATAACAATGTGAGGCTCCACCACCCTCCCCATGTCCCAGCAGGTGCCTGTTGGCCTGGGCAGGGTTGGAAGCTCAGATGGGCTGTTTTTCTTCTGGTTTCTTGCTCCAAGACGCGTGGGTTGCCATCTGCCCGAAGGGGTTTTCAGTGTTGTCCTGTGGTGCCAGCTCTGTGGAATCCTGGATGTGCATGGGCAGTGGGCCTGGGGTGGGAGAGATGTCCCTGCTACCCATGGCTCTGAGCTCTTTCTGTTCTAGGTTGGCTCGTGTGGCTTTAACAGCAGGATCCTACCAGGTGTGTACCCCATTGGCTTGGTGAAGGTGGATGAAGACACCATGGAGCTGATCCGGGGGCCAGATGGTGTCTGTATCTCCTGCAAACCAGGTGAGGTCAACCACAGGGCTACATCTCATCAGCCATGTGTGAGTCATTACCCAGATCCAAGTCTCTGCTCATTTTTCCTTCGGTGTGGGTAGTTGCTTCCACCCTTCGTCTTCTCTTTTCTCCCTGCAGGGGAGCCAGGGCAGCTAGTGGGCCGCATTGTCAAAAGCAACCCCTTGCAACACTTTGACGGCTACCTGAATAAGTCAGCCACCAACAAGAAAATTGCCAGGGACGTGTTTACAAAAGGGGACACTGCTTATCTCACAGGTGAGGCAAGCAGGGCGCTTCTGTCTGCTGAGAGCAGAGGAGAAAGGTACCTGGGTGGGTGTAGGGCCTGTCCCAGGCTAGTGGCACTGCCCTCAGATACTCCGGGATTGCTGCTACCCCTCTGACACCTCATTTTTTGCCTATTTCTCGCTTTCCTATAGGGGACGTCCTGGTGATGGACAAATACGGCTACATGTACTTCCGGGACCGCACCGGGGACACTTTCCGCTGGAAGGGGGAGAATGTCTCCACCACAGAGGTGGAGGGGACACTGAGTCGCATCCTCAACCTGACAGACGTGGTGGTTTATGGGGTGGAGATCCCAGGTAGCTGAGAGGGAAGAGGATGATCAGGGGAGGCAGGTGGGCCTCCGGCACTTGAATGTGAGCATATCCTGCACGTCCGCATCGACGTGTCCTTTTGCAAGAGGCTGGACCAAGGCTCCCCATGGGCGAGCTGGGAAGAGGCCGGGGGGATGTGTTCCCTCCTTCTCGCAAGCTTTAATTTGAATCTGGCTGGTTTGGAAGGACTGTATCCTTTCTGGGCAGGCTGCAAGTGCCTCCTCTGGGAGGAGGTGACCATGACCGCAGGGTGTCGCTGGTAGCCTTAGCTGCAGGGAGGGGACACAGCCGGTGACAAGCCGGACATGAGAGAGCTTCAGTACAAAGCAGGGTCTGTGCCAGAGGCCTTGCTGGTGCAGAGCAAAGGGACATGAGGCTACAGGGACGATATGTGTGAGTGCTCTCCCTTCTCTGCCTCTTAGGGATTGAAGGGAAGGCAGGAATGGCAGCCATCGCCGACCCGGAGAACTCCTGTGACCTGGAAGTCTTTGCCAGTGAGCTGAAAAAGGCCCTGCCGCTATATGCACGCCCTGTCTTCCTGCGGTTCCTGCACGAAGTCTCCAAGACAAGTGAGCTGCGGCATGCACACCCACGCTGAACACAGAGCTGGGGGAAGCCTGGGAGGGGTAGGGTAAAGATGGAACCCCTCTACCCCACGGAGCCCCTAGCCCATTCCTCTGGTGGTTTGGAGGCCGGGGGTGCGAGGCTGGGTTTGGGGCAGCACGAGTGCAGTGGGCATGAGAACGTGTGTGGCCTGTGACTCCTCATTCTTCCTTCTCTACATGTTCCAGGCACTTACAAGTTCCAGAAGATGGAGCTGCGGAAGCAGGGCTTCGACCCCACACTGGTGAAGGACAGGTTGTACTTCCTGGACTCCAGGCAAGGCTGCTACCTGCCGCTGGACCAGGCA